CGAGGGTACAGCAGCACCATCGGCAATCGTTGAAGCTATTCAAGCTACTGGTCGTGATGCAATTCTAAGAGGATCTGGAAGATCAGACAGTATGCTCCATCTGAATGTAGGAGTTTGGATGTGTTATGATTCTAACATGAGAGTAGGCGCCGCAGTTTGCATTCTAGAATCGCATGCACCGCATGTAGAGAACAAGGTTCGAGGGCTTGTGCGCATGGTGGAAGTGGCTCCAAGTATGACCATCATTGACCTGAGTATACGAGGATTGTCGCCTGGAACATACCATGCAACTATCCGCGAATCTGGCAACATATCCGACGGACCTGAATCTACCGGCGCCATCTGGGAACATCACAAAGCCAAACAGGAGGGCAAGCCGTGTCGAGGCGTCTTTGGAACCGTTCAGGTAGGGAAGGGTGGAGTCGGATCTGTGTTCCTGGACAAGCCCATCCACATCTGGGAGATGATCGGACGCAGCATCGTAGTTGCAAAGGAGCAAGACGGCAAGGTATGCGAAACCTGCCAATTGATCCGAGATCTGATCTGACCTTGGACAGTTTGATAAGAACGACCCGGATACGCTAGTGGGTGTCATTGCACGTAGCGCTGGTGTTTGGGACAGTGAGTGCTCTTGGTACCCCACGTGTTCTGCTTCTGGCGGCTCGTGTGTTCTAGATGGGTGTATGCTAATGGCTGTTCAGACGACAAGACGGTATGTTCGTGTTCCGGAAAGACGGTCTGGCAGGAGAGAGAGGAGCAGCGCGACCGTGGGATGCTATGAGCTCAAGACAGACCAAGATAGACCAAGAAGTCCACAAGTGCCGTCGAAATGCCGTGTTGGTTTGGTGAGGAGAGATAATGCATGCACCTTGAAATCTAGGCCGAAACTAGGACTGCGCGAACACGGACTTTGCGAGGCCTGGCATAGTCATGCGTTCATGCCTGAGAAAAGCGCGGCGATGGGGTGAGTGGCTGCGCGGACGAATCGTCACGTGGCTGTCTCAGTCGGAGCTTTTTCATGTTACAGACCTCAAACGCCATCACTCGATGATCGTAAGGGGGCCAGCAGTCGGATATTCGCTGCTGGCAGTCGGCGTCACCAAGCCAGGCTCCGGTCCTTTCGGAAGCACTGGAGAGGATGGTTAGGCTCTCAGGGCATCGAGAGGCGGTGGTGTCATGCTGCAATGGGCTGGGTTGCGGCGTCTTGGACTGGCGCGTAGCGCTGTGGCTCTCGGGCTTCACGGTGCAGGGGTCCAATCAGCGTGGCGGTCGCCGTGTCGGCCAAGGCTTGTCTCTCAAACGCGCTGGACCTCAGATTTGGTCTCCCCACCAGTAGCCCTCCTGCAACCGCCCGCCAAATTCCCACCGTGTCCCTGTCTCTTCCGAGTGCCGCCCTCGAAACCTCCTTCCCTCTCTCGAACGGCTTCCCAACTGTGCCTTAATTCCCACACCTGTACGATCGTTTACTTCCCCGCGCAACACACCAGGTACTTGTGTACCTCGACGACCATAATAGCCAGCACCCACCGCCTCTACCGCACCATAATTCACCACGTCGCGCACACCCACAAGCCCCGGCGGCTACTCTATAATCTGGCGGAATTGAGACGAGCACTTTGGGCAGTTTGCGTTTGACAAGGAACGCGACCCCTCGTCCCACGGTGGAGTGCTAGGAGAGGCCGTAGATTGAGGCTTGACGACACCATACTGCCGGGTAACAAGTGAAGATCACTCGTCATGTCTCTGAAGCAGGTGCGTTCCTTCTTCCTGCGTCTGTTTGTTCCTTCCGAGTCCAATTGCTGATAGGCGGGGTAGGAAATCGAAACCTGGGTGGCAGCCCTCGCCAGCTACGACAACAACGAGTTTGACGTCGCATTGAAGGTCTTTGACCAGATCTCCGACACGTCCAAGATTCTGTTCAACTGCGGCGTAATCCACGCCACTCTCGGCGAGCATGAGAAGGCGGTGAGTCAAGGATAATGGCTCCAATGCCACGAGCACGTGCTGATAGCTCTACAGGTAGATTGTTACCAGCGCGCTGTGCGTCTGGACCAATACCTCGCCGTCGCATACTTCCAACAGGGCGTCTCAAACTTCCTCATGGGCGATTTTGAGGAAGCCCTCGCCAACTTCAACGATACCCTCCTCTACTTGCGCGGAAACAACAACATTGACTACGAGCAATTGGGCCTGAAATTCAAGCTATACTCCTGCGAAGTGCTTTTCAACCGCGGTCTCTGCTACATCTACCTCCAGCAAAGAGACGCAGGTCTACAGGATCTGTCCTTCGCAGCCAAAGAGAAGGTGGTGCCTGACCACGATGTCATTGACGAGGCCATTCGCGAGGAAGCTGAGGGCTACACCGTCTTCTCCATCCCCGTCGGTATCGTCTACCGTCCCAACGAAGCGAAGGTAAAGAACTTGAAGACAAAAGACTATCTCGGAAAGGCCCGTCTTGTCGCTGCGTCAGACCGGGCTAATGCCTTCACTGGCTTCGCCGGTGCCGAGATCAAGAAGGGAGGACAAGCTGCAAAAGACGATAGGACTGAAGACAAGATCTCCTACGCCGCGACCAACCTAGTCAAACCAGAGCTTCAGAGCAGAGCCCGCCAGCAGTCAGAGCCGCCGATGAACCGTAATATGTTTCCACCTACACCGCCACCAGAGGCAGACAGGAGGTCTGGTGACAGGCGATCTGGTGGAGAGCGAAGACCTGCTGCCGATGCCCCGATGAGCCGCGCACAGTCCGTACGAGGTGGCGGTCCTAAGCCCCAGCCTCTGAACCTCGGACGAGCTGCTTTCGACCAGCAAAGCAGCAACGAGCCCCCTCGCCGTCAGCCAACGCAGCGCTCCGCCTCTGAGCGACCACCACCAAGCCGCTCAGAGTCAACACGAGACCGAGCACAACGCGATCCGCGAGACCAACGGGACCAACGGGACCAGCGAGACCAGCGAGACCAGCGAGATCGTGACTACAGGCCACGACGTCGTGGGTCTGACGATGATATCATCGACGACTACTATGACAACGACTCATACCCGCCTTCCCGTTCCAGTCGTGGCGCATATACTCGCTCAAAACAGAGCAGGCGGCCAGCTTACATCGAGGAAGAGGACGAGGACGACTACGACGGTAGTGATCTTGATGATGCTGAGTTTGAGATGATGTCCCGCTCGAAATCTAGGAGACGATCACCCGCTCGCTCCACCAGATCGGGTGGTAGCAACCGCGGTGCAGGTAGTAAGATCAGAGTCAAGGTTCACTCTAGTGACACGCGTTATGTTTTCATCAACTCGGATCAACTGATTACCGAGTTCTGGCAACAGATTCGCGAGAAGTTTGGTGTGCGAAATAAATTCAAGGTGGAGTTTAAAGATGATGGCGACATGATCACCATGGCCGACCAAGATGATCTTGACATGGCCATTCAGACGGCCAAGAGCGTTGCTAGAAAGGAAGGCAGCGATATGGCGAAGATGGAGGTAAGTTTCGTAAGACAAACAGCTTTAAGACCATACACTGACTATTTTACCAGGTTTGGGTTAGAGAAGTATAGACTAGAGATACCCCAGCATCACGCATATTTACGAACGACATAACATTTCCTTATTACCTCTTCGGACGCCTATCAGTTGCTCCGGCGTCTTTGATTTGATAGCGCCCAATTTTGCTGTAATTGTAGCGAGCATAATTGCTGGTTTTTGTGGGCATGCACAAACCCTTGTACACTCTCTTTCACAGCCGGACTGTTGATCCGCTATTCAGAGTCGGCTTTGCATGTACAGATAGCGTAATCGAATCTTATGAATGAATAGCTACCACAAATAGTTGTTTTCTTAGCTATGTGATGTTCCTTGAACCATGTGCATTATCAGTATGCAGAGTACCTGCAGTAGATAATCGCATACAGTAAGGCCTTCTGCATGCGCCACCGGCGCGTCGAAGTACCAACAACCAGGTTCGCAGACTAACAATTGAGTTACTCTGCTGCGCCGCATGCTAATTGATTCTTGACGCCACCGTGCCGTATGAAAGCAATATGCCGAGCACGAATCAACGTTGCTATTGGACTTTACAAACTGCTCCAAAACCAACACAGGCTGCTTTGTTCAACTGACTGGCGCTTAGAATGCCAACAGACAACTTCCGAGCGCCAAGGCACACTTTACGATATCCAAACGATACCATCCGCCAACAGCTCGATCAGGACGTATCTGAACACGCTACGCGTATACTTCTCATACGCCAGTTACGCGCCCGATAGGGATTCGCCGGAGCAACCCGGACGGTTGATCTCAGATCCGCTTGCCCAGCTTTTGCCTCGTGGAAAAAGAAATGCTCCCCCAAGAGCTCACACCATGCTCGCACCAGCCCGCAGGAGTTCCGACTCGACACTCGACGCGCGCCATAGCTGACACGAACGATGGTGGTAAATGAAGCTGAACAAACCAAGGAGGCGACGTGAAACTGTGGTCAAGCTCAGACTATGTCTCGGAGAAGGGAAAAAGAAGAAGAAGAAGAAACTCATAGGGCGACTTGATCCGTAATGTCTATAGCTAAGCATTTCTGTGACAGCAAGACAGTGCTTGGTGTGTTCCAGCCATGTGGGTTACAGAACCGTCATACGCGTCGATACAGGTGAGGCGCATGGTGTTTCAGATTACCATATGTCCTGGGATGACGTCGAGAGGGGTATGAAATGAGACTAGTCATGAAAAAATCTAGTTGAGATTGCTTCGGAGGAAAAAAATCGGAATTGTTGTACATTTCGTTGCAAGATCGTCGAATGACCCCGGTTGTAGGTCGCATTTTGACCCTGCTTTCACACCATTGAGTATGCTATCCGTGCCTGAACGCCCTTCTCAATGCTCTTCCCAAGATGAAATTTCCTTCTTTGTACATGGCGTCAAGGTTCGTCCATTGCCCTGCGATGGCTGCTCGCATTTGCCGCCTCGCTGTCACAGCGCCGGCGCATTGTCCCTTTGTGATGGATTTGGGTTTACGCGGGGAGTAGGATTTCGGCCCAGCTGCTGTGCAAGAATGTTACACCGATCTGTACACCGTCGTCAGCGCTCATCTTTTGTCAATTCTCCATCTTGTAAATCGTGTTCTATCGCCCCTCCGATATCTGCCATCGCATAGAGTATCTTACAGCAAACAGCCCCGCAGCAGTAACAATACTCCTGTTGTCCTTGCTTGTAAAGGCCGAAATAGTGCTAGACGCGAAGCTGGGCTCGTTAAGAGTACGGCCCTTGCCTGCCATTTGCTTGGGTGGCATTGTTGCGGAGTGAGCGTGAAGCTGCGGAATTCGTCAATATTGGGAATACGCGACTTCTGTTTCGCGGGGTTCGTACGATATATAGAGGTTGCGGTAGTGGTGGAGTAGTGTCGTGGGTGTAGTATCGATGCGCTTCGGTGATGGTGATTTTTGGTCGGCAGGATCGAGCGTCATCACGGTTTGATTATGTAAGGCATCTGAAGCTCCGACTGCACATGAGCCCTGCATATTCCACGGCATCAGTCTTCCATTTCATCTCACCGCATTATAATTGAAAGTACAACTGACATAGAAAGGCACCACTGTATACGCGCAAAAGAGATAAATAGCATAGCATCGTACTATTACAAGTTGATCACAAGCACGACTGAGCCTACCGCCCAGTCTACGCCCTCTACTAATAGCCATGTCGTGTGTTTTGGCCTACCGCTCAGCCACGTAATGAATGAATACGTTTGATAACCCGGTGTACCGAATCAGATATCCGCTATGCAAAAGATACCCGAGAGGAACTTGAACGCCGTGAATGCTTGTCTGAAAGCCTCAAAGGTGAGGCTAGACTAAATATCAGGAAATGGAAAAAAGTAAGCTCATAGAAGGTTGCCGCCATCGGAATTCTCTGCACCATGGAGATAGAGCCTGAGTGGCCTACTCCTTCTTGCTTGCCAAGATACTGTACTGACCACCGCAACCAGCCCATACAAGCTTTGTCTCTCGCACAGCAGTATTGTCGATCATAGTCGGGACCTCGATCTCGTCATCAGTGCCCTGACCCGTCTGGAAGTTCACTGAGAAACCCCATGAGTAGGCCTTGCCGGCCTCGTCAATGACGATAGAGTGTTCAGGGCCGCATGCGCCGGTGACAATGTTCTTGAGGTCAGGAAGGGGTGTCGGCTGTACAACAATTTTCGCCTTGCCGTTGTTCTTCAATACCTTGCTCTCATCCGTCTCTGCGTCAAGTTGGGAAGGAGGGAGACCGGTCTGTGAACCATCGCAGCGACCCCAGACGAGCACTTGTCCATCCTTGGTAATGGCTAGGTTGTGATGCGAGCCTGCGTCAAGCGTATGAACGCCTTTGCCCTCCAAGCTGTGTACAATTTTGGGCTGTAGGACGCTGGCATCGTCTGCACCAGCATTCTCGGTGTAACCAGTTTCGCAGTAGTTGTTCGCACCCCAACCCCAGACATGCCCGTCATCTGCGATTGCAAGACCGTGATAGTCACCGGATGCGATGTGCGTGATGCGTTGGCTGTGCTTTTTGATAGAGGTATCGTGGAAACCAACCTTGCTCGGCTGCAAAGCTTGGACGAGGTTGCGTTCGGTAACGCGGCGACCAAGCTGGTTTTGCTGGCCATTGCCCCAAGCCCATACATGGTGGTCCTTGTCAAGTGCGTAGACGTGGTTGGTACCGCACACGATCTGAGTGACCTTCTTTACGCCGTCAATATAGACAGGCCGAGGTGCCGTCTTGTTGTCGGTTGCGAATCCCATGATGCCTTCGTTCTTTCGGAAGGTGCCCCATCCGTAAACAGCGCCCTCGGTAGTAAGGGCAAAAGAGCAGCTATCACCGGCAGCGACATCGACGAAGGTGGTGTCTTCAGGGAAAAACTCGGCCGGCACAGGCGCAGGTGTAGCCTCGGCATCGTTCAAGCCACCAGTCTCGTCTTCAGAATCAGAATCGGAGTCGTCCGCATCGAGATCGCGCATCTTGACGTTGGCGTTCGATGTGTCGCGCCCGAGGGCGTCGTTGTCGTTAACACCCCATGTCAGGATTTGGTTGTCTTTGGTTAGTGCAACAACGTGCATGCCACCAGTAGCAATCTTGACGACATTCATGTTGGACAGAGTCTCGTTGTAACGCGGTCGCTTCACGTCGATGGCCTTGCTTGTAGCCCCAAGGCCGAGCTCACCAGAGGAACCTTCGCCAAAGACGAACACCTTCAACGGTTCAGTGTAGCGGATCGAGTTGATCTCTGTCTTCTTGCCCTTGGCGCGGCGCGGGCCCTTGGGATTTGGAACCAGAGCCGGATCGATCTTCCCGGCCTCTGGCTCTGGTGTTGCAGCCTTTGACGCGGCTTTTGGTGCAGCCTTGGGTGCAGCCTTCGCGCGCTCGACCTTTGGCTTCTTCACAGCGGGCGCAGGCGCGTCTTCGACATCGGGTTCGCTTTCTTCGTCCTTCTTGCGCTTTGTCGTCTTCTTAGGCGCGGCTTTGGGTTCAGGCGCGGGAGTTTCGGTCTTCTTTGCGCGACTGCGTCCAGTAGCTAAACCCGTCTTAGCAGATAGCCCTACTTTGGACGCGTTGACCTTACGCTTCTGTGGTGCTGCCTTGACTTCCTCGGCGTCTTCATCAGCCATTTCGACGTCTTCAGCGTCTTCAACCTCCTCGGCTATGCCATTGGCAACAGGCGCGTCTTCGGTCTTCTTTGCGCCTCTTCGTGGGACTGCGAGATTGGTTAGCGGTGGCCTGATTTCCTTGGGTGGGCGTGACGTACCGGCGCCGTTTACTTTGACCTCTTTGGCATCTTTCTTCTCGGCGGGCTTTGCGCTCGCAGAACGGGAAGCTCTAGCCATTTTGCGCGACACGAACGAGAGTTGATGCGCGTAAAAAGTTTTGGGTGGAAAGTTGTTGTGAGGTGGCTGGTGTTGTCGTATATAGAAAAATGTTGAACTGTATTTGGCAAGCATGGCGCTAGACTTTACATGGACCAGCTCGCTGCAGCCACGGCCCGTCAACCATTCATCGCGTACGTCACTGCCTGATTGGCTGACCATCAACTGTTGACCGTCCGACACTCACAACATCTAGCATCATCTGCCTCATCTGCCTCGTCAACACTGCAACGCCTTCTCGTGCTTTTACACATTGCTTTAACGTATTGCATCTCAGTCCCTGTCGTTCGTCATCGGAATTCGTCCAGCCATTGCCCAGTACCTAGATGGTCGCCTGATACAACCGCAATTCGCGAAAGGGGCGAGCAGCACAGCATCTTGCCTTTCAACATGTTTCACAAATCTATTGTTCTTTCTGCGCTTCTGAAAGGGATTTACTGCGTCCAACCTGAGGCGCCATCTCCTAAAGCGGCTCCCCTGCGTGATCTACCTTGGGCGCAACTTAACTTCCTGCATACTACTGATATCCATGGGTGGTGGGGAGGCCATCTACAAGAGTAGGTTACCGAAAAACGCCTTCAGCTGAAGTTCACTATGTTGACACACGTCGATCTGACCAACTGCAGGGCGTCGTTCTCGTCCGATTGGGGCGACTATGTCTCATTTGCTCAGCACATGCGTGACAAAGCAGACGCGGATGGGTCGGACTTTCTTCTTGTAGACACCGGAGACAGAGTAGAGGGAAACGCTATCTACGATTCCTCTAAGCCTCGAGGAAAGTTAGTGGGGCCCTGCATTAAATACACACAGGACCTACACTGACTTCGTAACCCAATATCTAGATTTACATACGAAATTGCCAAAGAACAAAACATCGATCTGATCTGCTCTGGGAATCACGAACTTTACAAAGCAAACACTGCCGAGGGTGAATATTTTCATACAGTTCCTGACTTCAAAGAAAACTACTTGGCTTCTAATCTAGACATCTATAACCCCAAGACCGGAAAGCTGGAGCCACTCGCGCCGCGCTTCAAAAGATTCACTACTAAGAACCAAGGCATACGTATCCTAGCTTTTGGATTCATCTTCGATTTTACAGGCAATGCAAACAACACTGTTATTCACAGAGTCGAAGACACGGTGCATGAAGAGTGGTTCAAGGAAGCCCTCAAAGATCAAGACATCGACCTGATCATCGTCTTTGGTCACGTCGATATCCGTTCTGAAGAGTATGCAGTGCTCTTCTCTACTATTCGTTCCCTGCACTGGGATACGCCTATCCAGTTCTTCGGAGGTCATACGCATATCCGTGATTATAAGGTTTTTGACGCCAAAGCTGCTGCTCTCGAGAGTGGGCGGTATATGGAGACGCTCGGCTTTGCGTCTATCAACGGTCTCAGTACTCGCGGCACGAAAGATAGAGCGCCTGCACTCCAGAGCCCAAAGCTTACATTCTCTCGTCGATATATTGACAACAATCTTTATTCGATGCAACACCACAGCGGGAAGGACGCGAAATCGTTCGCAACTGACCATGGGAAAAAAGTTTCCAAGGCGATCGGCGAAGCCAGAGAATCTCTCGGACTTGGGAAGGTCTACGGCTGTGCGCCACAAGATCTTTGGATCAGTCGTCGCCCTTACCCGCACAGCGAGAGTATCTTCACTTGGATCGAGGAACAGCTACTACCTCAGACTATCGAGAAATCCGATCGCATCCAGAATGGCAAGAAGGCGTTTGTGATTACCAACACCGGTGCCATCCGTTTTGACATTTTCAAGGGAGCTTTCACCAAGGACACGAAGTTCCTAGTCTCGCCGTTCACAAGTGGCATCCGGTATATCAAGGACGTACCTTACAAAGCCGCCAGCCAAGTACTCAAACTTTTGAACAACGAAGGACCTATTATGCTGGCCATGATGGAAAGCAACGCATTCCTGCAGCCCCCAGAGATTTTAGCAGCACGGTCTCGACCGCACATGCTCACATCTTTCGACTCTGCTTTTGCCGACCTCCATGAAGGCCAAACACCTCTCCGCAATATGGATGAGCCAAAACCTTTCCCAGGTTATACCACCAAAGATGATGCCGGTGCGGATGGCGACGACACAGTTCATGAGCCCATCGCCTTCTACAATGTTCCCAACTGCATTCAGTCAGCTGTTGGCTTCGATCGACCAGGAAATAAAGTCCAAGAACCAGAAACCGTTGATCTCATGTATAATCAGTTCATTGAGAAATGGATATTGCTGGCGCTTGAGTACTTGGGTGCGCAGCGTGGGCTGGAGGATACTGAGGCGTTTGATAACGAGAAAAGCTTCACGGATATTATGACGGAGTGGGTGGAGGAACATTGGGGGAGTGAAGATAAGGGATGTTAAGAGTAATCAAGAATTGGGTTTTCTTTGCTCTGTCCGTCAGGTAGATGTTGTAATCCCACACTCTGCACATGTGCCTGCGCATGGAACTACGTCCACGCAGGCTAGCGACTCTCATTATAGTCAGGCATTTCCTGTCTTTGCAGACTTCCAGATCGTGGATGGAAGAAGATCTAGTTCAACCCAATATGCTTCGCCCGAAAAACGCCTCGCCATGATAAAGTATGCCGTTCCAAAACTCCAAATTGCCTGTCCGTGTCGTCTGCCGACTATCGTCCTCCCCGGGCGGCGCGGGCTTGTTCTCTTTCGCTAGCATTGTATCTGTATGAAGTGTTAGCTCCTTTTCGGGGCGTCATTACCGCTGGTGTCTCTGCATCTCTGCATTTTGGCAGCGCATCAGCTTGTTGCGATCGGCGGCGGGAACGTACTTGAGGAGCTTTTCGATGAGATCGACGTGGGTAAGAATCATGCGGCGGCAGCAGTAGCGTTGGAGACCGATCTCGTCGAGGGCCTCACTAGATGGGGTACACGTTAGCGAATGTCTTGTGTCGGTACGGGACTGGTAGTGGTATTGAACAAGGTCGAGTTTGGCTGCAAGGTAGGCGTGCTGGGGTCTTCTATGAACGAGGTTTCTTACGCTTCTTCTTTGCCTTCACTGAGAATGGTCATGTACTTCTCCCACAGGTCGCCCGTGACCTAGGAACTCTGTGAGCAAGGGCGCGCATGAGCTAGAATGTAGTTGTAGTACCTTGCCGCACGAAAAGCAACGGATGGGAACAATCATCTTGGTGATTCGAGGGTATTCGTGTTGTTTAGGAGGACACGCGATCACGGTCTGATAGCTACGGAAGCGCGCAAAGGTAAGGTGAGGTTGTCGTGATGCCGGACGTTGGTGGACGCTGTCTCAAAGAAAGTTGCGGGCGCGCTAAGGACGCGGGCGGTGAAAAGCTCGGGCCAGGCTCCATCGAAAAAGTTCAACTTCGACATATCAATGCTACACGAACTTCACGACTTCCACCTTTGCGGATTCTTACACGCAAGTCCACTCGAGACTCAGCTAGGATGGAGGACGCGACTCCCCAATTGAAGAGGAAGGCCGAGGAGGCTGCAGCACAGAAGAGGGCCAAGAAGCAGAGGAAGAACGAGGCTGCCGCTGCCGCTGCGCTCAACGATGGTCGCAACGACGAATCTTCAAATGGCGCAACCGGTGCAACGCCCAAGTCGAATGCGTCTACGCCAAAGAAGCGATCGACGTCTACCCCGAAAACGAACGGTGCGAGCAAAGATGCGCCGGCTGAAGTCAACGGAGCACTGGACATGTCAGGATTATCAAAGGCAGCTCTCAGGAAGCAGGAAAAGAAGGACAGAAAGGAAAGGAACAGACAAGAGCGCAACGAACTGATCGAGGCCGAGGTATCAGGCATAGTCAAAAAGAAGAAGAGCAAGAAGACTGATAGGTGGGCTTCGTCACCCGCTCATGGAGGATGGTTCCTACCAGCCGACCCTGTCTTCTCGCCCGACGAGAAATACCTACTCATCGCCAACGCCAAGTCACTTCGTGTCTATGCAACCGAAACATCGTTGCTCGCCAATACACTTTCCGAAGACGACACAGGCGCCCTCACAGCTTATGCTCTATCACCCACGAACCCCCACCTCGTGTACGTCGCATACTCAATTGGGCACATAATACTGTGGAACTGGGTGGCTGGTAAGAAAGCTGGTCGATGGAACATTGGTGCTACAGTCCGCCACATGACAGTCATTGCGCAGTCAGACTCCTCCGAGGATGATCTTACATATTGTCATGAAACTGATGAGGGACACACCATCAGTGTGCACGCACTTCGTACGAAGCGTCAAGATACCCGGACAGAACTCAAGCAAGTCAAGCAAATACTGAGCAGTGCGAGCTCTGCAATCCGCGGTGTCCAGGTACTTCTGCAAGGCAAGTACGTCGTGGTTGCTACATCTGACTCTCTCGTGGTCGGAAAGCGCACGAAGGCTAGCAAGACAGCATTCGAGGACTTGGAGTACGTCTGGCGGGAATTCAAATTCTCGAAGCACATCACGACCTTTAACGTCTATCACCGCGAGCATCAAGAGAATGACAACGGAAACAAGACTCCACAAAGTCAAAGGGATGTTCTTGACATTGCTGTTGGAGAAGAAACCGGTGTGATCCTTCTTTTCGAAGATATTCTGGCTTCTTTTGCTGCAGTTGAGAAAGGCAATGCCGAAAGCTTCAGGCCCAAGAGACTCCATTGGCATAGAGATGCGATAGGGTCTGTCAAATGGTCGTTGGATGGCAATTACCTTATCTCGGGAGGTGATGAGACAGTCCTCACGATGTGGCAGCTTGCTACTGGACAACCACAGCATCTACCCCATCTTTCCGCGGCTATTGAGAACGTTGTGGTTTCTCCCACGGGCTCAGCGTATGCGTTGACGTTGGCTAACAATTCTGTCATTGTTCTGTCTACCACCGAGCTCGAGGCCCGCACAAACATCATCGGTATCCAATCACGTCGAATCGACGTCGAACAGCTGTCTAGGGATGGTGACAACACGTTTGGCATCTT